GCTGAAAGTGTAGCTTTAGCATTGGCAATAGGCTACTCTAACTCCAGGAGGCATTTGGTTCCTTAAGCTCTATGAGCTGGACAGAGCTGTCATTGAAACAATAGATGCTGGAGAGATTTTGGGGACTGCTGCAGGGCTGCATTCTCAGAAGAAAATGGACTCTCCTAAGATCACGGAGAAAAATGTCTGGAAGTAAAAGTGAAACTTTTATATGATGTTAAGAAATTATTTTTATTAGGAATCATAATATTTTCATTTTTTCTTTGTCAAATTTAGGTACAAAATTTCTACAGAGTTAACAACGTGAATTTTTATGTTTACTTTAAAATTTTACCCAAAAAACTGGAGTTCATAGTTGAAAATGAAAGATAGAATAATGATGCCTGAAGTCCTGTGATGGGGACTTACGATGGGTTTTATTAATTTCTAGGATATTAAGATTAAGATTTTTAATTTCCATCAGTTTTAAAAAAATAAAAATTTTTAATGAACACTTTCAAACACTGAACATTATCTATGTTGTGTAATCAAAAAAGGCATATATCTTCTCACAAGTAGTAATAAATTTCGGGGTTTGGTATTAGATTTGGGTTTTGAAATTGGTTGTGAATGAGTGCTGAAAGTGTAGCTTTAGCATTGGCAATAGGCTACTCTAACTCCAGGAGGCATTTGGGCCCAGAGAAGTGGATCCACCCTCTGAATCTGAAATTGGGGCTGCCATCGACAAACCTCCCCCTTCCACCTCCCCCCAACCCCTTCCTCCACTGGAGGCCCTAAGCTTGCATGGTGATGAAAAGGTTATCAGGGTGGTAGAACTGGATCCTGGTCTGAACCCAGAAGATGATCTGGCTCAGTAGATGGAAGATGTGCACTTTTAGGAAGAAGAGGAGGAAGGGTGCAGTGAGGAGAGTTGGGTTCCGGAACCCCAGGAAGGGGTGGTCAGGTTGGCTACATGGAGAACCCCAGCGATTACAAGGTCACCTTTGCATTGCACTCCGTATCTGTCTTTTTGGTGAGCCTGGACCACCAAGACCACCACCTTGGCAGCAACAGGGGTGAAGATGACAGGAGGCTCAGGGATGGGGAGCTGCTTTTTGAATATGCAGCCACAAAGACTCTGTGACTTGTGCTGGCTTCAGCCAAGTCTCCACCCTTGTGGCCACAGAAGCCATGAATGGCCTCTTGAAAGTGTGGCAGGTGGACACCAAGGAGGAGGTGTGGTCCTTTGAAGTGAGAGACCTGGAGTGAACATAGTAGTACCCTCTGGCACCTGTCTGACTGGTGTGCATGGCTGATGGCAACATCTGGATGTGGGAAGTCCCAAATGGTGACTGCAAGACCTTCTGGGGTCCCGAGTGCACAGCCACTTGTGGCAGAGTCCTGTCTGATAGGGAGAGAGCTGTAGTAGGCTATGCAAATGGCACCAGCAGGATATGGGACCCCAGGCAGGAAATACCCTCCATGTACTAAAAGGGACTGAGGGTCACCAGGGCCCACTCACCTCTGTTGCCACTAACCAGAATGGTGGCTGATCCTAAGTGGCTCAGTGAACTGCTAGGCCAAGCTGCTCAGTGCCACCAGTGGCAGGGTGTTTTTAGATCTGAGACAATGGCCTCTCAGCCCAACCTTAAAGAAGATGAGGAGAGTGAGTCCAGCTCGGTGGAGTCCTTGGGCTTCTGCAGGGTGAAGCTTTGGGCAGCTGCTGGCTTCCTGGATGGTACCTTGGCCATCATCTATGAGCTAAGCAGAGTAAGCATCAGTGTCAGCACCGGTCTGGCCTCTGCCGCTG